TATATACATATATATATATATATATATATATATATATATATATATATATATATATATATAGTCACAGGATGTGTAGTATAGTGTGGGGAGTGGAGTCAATGGAATTGTAATAGATATGTATGATGTTGAGGGGGGAGTAAGGGCGGTGGATTGGGGGGAATTTGTCACTTTGTGAGGGATAAAAAGTATAACTACTGCACTGTTTTTTTACACCTGAAACGAATTTTTTTAAAAAAGGAATTAATATCCAAATAGGAAAATGCTCAAACTCTCTAGGAAATGAATAAATGGCAAGTAAAACAACAACAACAAAAAAACATAATTTGTCCTTTTCAAAATTATTATCTCAGATATGTTCTATGTAGTTCCACATTAACTTTTAAATATCTGTTCCTGTATTTCTCCAAATTTATCCAACAAACTGACTTATTTCCACAAAAGTATATATATAATAAGATTTCAGATTTTACAAATAACCAGGAGTTATCATATTTAACATACCTTGATCTCTTTTTCAAATGGTTTGATGAAAGGTGAACCTCTCATTGTCTGAGTTTTTATAATTTGATCATCAAGGAGAGCCTGAATCTCATCTACTGAAGAAAGAATATAGACTCCAGTTTCACGATATAGACTTATATGAAAAGCAATATCTTCCCAAGTTCTTATCATTGTATGCATGGCTTTCTCTAATGAAAATTCCTAAAATGGAGAAAACAAGGGAATGGGATGGTGAAGAAAGAATCTTATTTACTATATTGACTTTCCCTAGTAAACTCAGTAAGCATATGATGCATTACACAGTCTTAAAATAATCTGTGGCTACAGTGTTACTGTCTATAAATTTAAAAAGATTTTTAAACAATTGGTGGCCAAGACATGGAAACAACCAAAGCATCCATTGATAGAAGATTGGATAAAGAAGATATGGTGTATATATACACAATGGAATACTATTCTGCCATAAGAAAAGATGAAATAATGCCATTTGCAACAACATGGATGGATCTTGAAATTATTACGCTAAGCGAAATAAGTCAGAAAGAAAAAGTAGAGAACCATATGATTTCACTGATACGTAGTATATAAAACTGAAAACAAAGGAACAAGACAAACAAATGAAGAAACAAAAACTCATAGACACAGACAATAGTTTAGTGGTTACCAGAGGGTAAGGGGGGAGGGGGGTGATAGACTTTGGTAAAAGGGATCAAATATATGGTGATGGAAGCAGAACTGACTCCGGGTGGTAAACACACAATGTGATATGTAGATGGTGTATTACAGAATTGTACACCTGAAACCTATGTAACTTTACTAGCCATTGTCACCCCAATAAACTTTAATTTTTTAAAAAAGGGATAATTATGGGCCAGTCTCAATTCACATATATAGATGCAAATATCTAACGATTATCTTTATGTAAATCTCTATACATAAAAGTTACTGCATATTTATCATAGAAGGTTTATTCCAGGGATGTAAAAAGTTGATTTAATATTAAAAACTGAATACTATACTTCACCATATTAACATACTTGAAGGAAAAAAAATTATATGTAAAAATCCATAAGTATAGAAGAAGCATTCAATATGACATCTGCTCAAAATAAAAGTGCTTACCCCACCACCACCACCAAAAAAAAAAAAACTACTGCTGTCAGTATTAAAATAGACAACAGAATAAAACACCTGCTGGACTTTCCCTGAAGTGGCATTCTTCAGTCTGTAGTCTGAAGATGCTCTCTGTGTATTTCAAGAACCCTAGAGGGCTATCCTTATTCTGCTAGAATACACACACATCACATGCCACAGACACAACCACCCAGCATTCTTTTTTTTTTTTTTAGCTGAGCCATCCTGCCACCTGTTGGCAGCTCAGTGGTTACTCAGCTCGGGCTGGACTCGAACCGCTGTTGCTCAGAGCTCAAACTCTTTCTTTCTTTTTTTTTTTTAATTGGGGAATTGGGGGGATGGGAACAGTGCTGGGGAATTGGGGGAAGGGGAACAGACAAGTTGCTGTCGTTTTGTTCTTCA